TTAACCAAGCAAGTCTGCAACTGCTGCGCCCACTAGTTAAGAAAATTAATCCCCTGCATGATGGGCAAAAGAAAATGAATCCGCTTCTGAATGGACAGGACACTTCAAAAGCTTTGCTGGATCTGTCAGGAGAGTGGCTTTTATATCATAAGGAGAAATTTGATCATTAAAGAAGCGTCTGGAGAGCTGGCAGCTCCATCACAGCAGTTCAAACAGGAGCTCAGAAATGTTTCTACATACCTTTGGTAGACTTCAAATAGATCAAAAAAAGAACTAGCAAATATTCATTGGGGTCTCCATTTCTGTTCCCACTTAAGAAGTAACTGAAGGAAGGCTGGAGCTGCTCGGAGCACAGCGTAGACCTGCCTGTAAGAAAACACTATTGGAAGAAAAAGAAAAGTAAACCCCAGTCCAGACTAGATGAAGATCAGCCACAACAGGACTCATCCCAATTCATCTGCCACAAATTCCCTCTAAAGATGACATGAAATTGTGCATTCCTACCCTCCCTGATGTTTGGCATATTCTGTTTCCCATTAAAAGGAATTAGGTAAAAATGGTTCCATTCCTTGCCTTTTATTTATTTTTTTAACTTTTAAGATCTTCTCTGAATAATACAATACTCCCCTCTGTATTTTCTTAGAACTTTGGCACCTCGTGTTTCCAGCGCGTGCCGTGGTTTTAGCTAGAAAATAGGAGCCAAAGGTGTTTTGAAGAACCGCGCTGTGCTCTCTCGTTGCACTAACGAGCATGGGCAGCAGGGAGCCGTGGGCTCTCTCTCCCACAATGGCTGCAACACAAGGCCTGGTGGAACAGATCTGCTCTACAACAGCCGACACAGCTCCACAGTGGGAAAAAAACCCACTGGGTCTGCCTTATATATGCAGCCTGATGTTAATTCCAAATGGCATCTTCCCTTCTTGCAGTGGAAAGCGAGACGTGTGAGCAAACACTTTTGTTTTTAAAAAACCTCTCCCTACAGTTCAAAAGTTTAGTACACTTTTGTGAGCAATTTTCTGACATGGAGAGATCATTATAACAATTTTAAAATGTTTCAGGAAGCAACATATGGTATGCACTCAGCGTCTGCTGTGACAAAATTCAAGGTAGCAAGTGGTAAATTCACAACCGTCTGTGCAAAACAAAATTACCCAAAAAAGAGCAGACAAGTGCATACTGCAAATAACCCATGATGAGAAAAGTGTCACAGAGTGGTTTGGTTTGGAAGGGACCTTAAAGCTCACCCAGTGCCACCCCCTGCCCTGGGCAGGGACACCTCCCACCAGACCAGGTTGCTCCCAGCCCCATCCAGCCTGGCCTTGAGCACTGCCAGGGAGGGGGCAGCCACAGCTGCTCTGGGCAGCCTGTGCCAGGGCCTCACCGCCCTCACAGGGAAGAATTTCTGCCTCAGATCTCATCTCAATCTCCCCTCTTGCAGTCTGAAACCCTCATCCTATCCTAACCAAGAGTGTCCCCCCCCCTTCCCTGCAGCCCCCTTTCAGCACTGAAGGCCGCTCTAAGGGCTCCCTGGAGCCTTCTCTTCCCCAGGCTGAACCACCCCAACTCCCCCAGCCTGTCCTCACAGGGAGCTGCTCCAGCCCCTGAGCATCTTCAAAATTTGTGTTGAGATTTTGGCTAGTTCTGAATTAAAAAAAATACATACAAAAAGGCATTGGCGTCATTGATCTGTACTGTAGAAACACACGATCTTTGTTGCTGGCAAGGACCTTCACAGACATGAAGTGAATAGAACTAAGAACGTAAGTGACATAAGATTGTCTCACGACGTTTCAGCACGCAAGTTTTGGAGGATTATCTTACTTAACATCTATTTTCTGTGCTACCACACTCAGGTAGCATTTCCATGCACTTCCAACTTTACTTTTGGTACCATAGTTTTTTGGTGCAAAAATAACACAGAAAAGCAGTCTAGAGTCTATGACGGGCTGAACAGGGGTTAAGCACTGCAGAGCTTACACGTTAAGTGTCACCTTACACATTAAGTGTCACCCATAGCTGTATCTCTCTCCACAGTAACAAGATGACGCAACATAATGGTATACTTGTGCACAAACCCAATACCAGATGAACCACACGATTGTGCGGACAATGCTGATGAACTGCTCTGCCTTGCTCTCGCCGTGATTAGCTTCACGTGAAAGCATCCTAATGATGGATGTTCAGACCAAGCTCTGCTATTACAGAACAGGACAGTAAATTGGCCTGTAGATTTGGGTCTTGCTGAGAGATAACGACAAATACCTGTCAGTACAGCAATTCCTACTTCCGAACAACGTAAACACGCATACCCTGGTTATGCTGCTTGCCTGGAGAAACCCGGAATGTCTTCAGCCTACGCAAAGGCCAACCAGGCAATCAGCACTAGTCGAAGGCTGCGAGAATTTCCTTTAAACCCTTCTGCCCAGTAAACCAAACCAGCTAAAAGGCAGCCTGGTCTATAACCTTACTTGTGAGTCTCTCTCCAGGTCTGCCCGCTTTTTCAGTGAAATAAAGTCGGTAACCATTCTCACACCACACAGGTACAAATAACCCTTACTCGTCAGTATTTATGACATATTTTCCGGTGTAGGATCTTACATGTCACTAAAGGGGTATCGCAGGCCTGTGAAGGCCTCCCGCAGCACTGATCACCACTATTAAAACTCAGACCTTATTGTTTACGTGACTTTTGTCCTTTACGCCACTGTTGTCTGAATTATTTTTCCTTGAATTCATTCCTTCTGGGGCTTTGATCCTTCCACCCCTATGCAGACACGAGGCCAGAAGAGCTTCTCAAGCGTATTACGTGCTGCTCGAAACCACTGAAGGCTCAGCAGGGCAGGAATTCCGTGTGGAATTTCATTTAGTTCAAACACAAAATTTCAGAAGCCTGTTCCAGTTGTCAATTTTATTCGAAAGGTGTCTTCTATACATTTTTTTATATATAGAAATAAATACGAAAGGCCTATACAAATATGAACACTGAAGGAGTACCAATACTGCCCTTCATTTCTTACATCCATCTTTCAATACTTAAAGGGACAAAGCCGCAGCAAACAGCCCACATATTCAGTAAAACAAATTTTACAAAATCTCGGATCACAAATGTCTGTTCGTGTCTAACAGAACCTTTCAGACCGAGGTTCCTTTCACATATGCACAACTGCAACACGGAACACGTTCAGCTGCCGTTGAGAATTTCGCAATATAGACCGACGTGCGCCCTCCTCAAGACGGACAGTAAAAACAAAATCATGCTTCTTAAGTTCTACTCTGATGCAGGAATTTGGCATTACCACTTTTAATGACGTACTGTGTTGACATAGTATTTTTTAATAACATTCTGATGAATTAAAAAGAACACAATCTTGCCTTCAAATAAAACTCAAGTCATTTAAAAACCTTCAGAATGCTCGTCTATAACATGGATCTTCCCCAAGCTTTAAAAAACTTACTTCAACACCACATAAAATGCTTTTGATATAAAATAACATCATAAAATAAGTAAGCTTTTTGTCTTTTGTAAACTGTAATTTATAGACTCTTTCCCGTAAAGTGATATTTTTTTAACACAGGGCATCATCCACATGCACTTAGGTAATTTCACTAATTTGCACATTCGAAAGAGTATCAAGCAAAGCATGTGCTTAAATGGTGGGAGGAATGGATACTAAACTGAAGACAACTGCTCTTTCAAAAGTCAGAGGTTTTTTGTTGTGGTTTTTTGAGGTTTTTTAAGAAAAGGTCAAATCCCAACAATATTGAAAGGAGACCGCATAGTATAGCAAAAACTTCTTTTGTCCTTCCTTAAGGAATTTGTCCTCATCCCAAAACTAAAGAGCTCCCAGATGTTAATTTAAGAACTACAGATTATACTTGCTGGCAATCAGAAGAAATATTTCAGATATTTCCTAGTTGGCCAATAAAAGCAGAGGCTCTAGTTCAGAAAAAATACAGTAAATTATGTTGTTATAAGTGCACAAAAGCCCAATCCTGCAACTCTTTCCTGTTCGTTCAATTGTTTTCACTTAAGGAAAGTATATAGGATTTCCCTCTCAACCCTGATTTAATAACTTTAGTAAGAAACTGCGTTTGAAGAACCTGGATGTTTAACAGTTTACACATATACTAGATTTCAAGGGTATTTTGGAATGTCTATCCTGCTTTTCAAAAGAACCGCGACTTTTTCTTCAAAAATATTTCCTTCAAAATAAAGCTTTATGAGCTCGTGTTACTGAACAGTGCCCTCATTTCCACTTCCTAAAGTTTAAGTTTGGTTTGGCTCACTCTTTCAAAGGAGAAGCTGCAGGTTCCCCGAGAAGTGCATGGGACAACCCCCTAACTCAAGGGCAGGTCTCCAGTGCGGCTCGGTTGGAACAGCAGTGGTGCTGCCGGGTTCTTGCCCGCAGCATCGGAGCGGTTTCCGTAACAAACTTCCCAGGTTCCCTGCAGCTCCCTCATCAATTTTCACTCCTCCACGCTCTTTCTGAGCTCACCCAGTAAAAATGAACTCTTTCCACCGCAGGTTTTGCGGGCAGGGCTAGAGGTTCTGCAGGCCATGGGAGCAACGAGCCAAGGGAAGTTCCCGTAAGTGCCGTACGGCGTTAATCGGGCCTGCAAATCCCAGCTACAGCGGTGACGGAGACAGCAAGACTCCAGCTCTCCAGCAGGTCTAACTTCAGGTTAAAGAGCAACCACGGGAGGGAACAAAAACAGACAAGAGACCACGTACATAAAGACTTGCAGTGTCATTTATGAAAAAACACTTTCAAGGTAGGAATGCATTTATCGAAGCTTTGCCCCATTAAGAATGATTTGAAGTTTGGGTTCCTGAGCTTGACACTGGGTAGGGGGAAGGGCAAGGGAAAGTGTTTTCTATCTTAAATTATACAGCAGTATCATTAGGACAGTATTTAAAACCTGTTATTAGAAGAACGAATAAGTTACAAATAGGACTTTTAAGAACATTATAACTAAATAGTAGTTTCTTCAGAAGAACCTTAATCTTCTTTCTTTTGTGTTTGAAATCGTTCCATTAAAGCCCTAAATATATTTCCTGGTATTTTCTGATGTTTTTCTATTAGAGCTTGGAGCGCTGCTTTTGGGAAACAGAGAAGTTTTTGGTCAGATTAACTCATCTTTATACTCTTCATACATCAACACAATTTCTAGGCTCTTTTTCATCCTTCCAAATGTCGTAGAACTACTTCAAGTTCAAAATACTATTCTTCCATATTTAAGCCCACAGGATGTGTCTGTGGGATCGCTGCCAAGAAATAGGCCAACAAACTAGTATCTTATCTCTGGTACCTGTGTCCCCAAGCTCTATTAGCGATACGCCATTGTAAAATGACAACGGAGCAAGTTAACGAAGAGACCCAGATCCCAGAAGTCTGTCAGAGCCTGCGTGCTGTGCTGCAACTCAGAAACTTCTGCCTATGCCCAGGTTTGCATCAGTAACGCCCTCCCTGTGTGCAAGAACTTTGCTCTACACGTGCTCAGAAGCAGCACTGGAAACCCAATGGTGTCTCAGCACATTTGGCTTGTACAAAGTAATGATCCCTGTACCCGAGTCCCCCTAAAGGAGCTGGTCCTGTGAAGCCCCCTTAGTCCGCACCTAAAAGACTGCACAGGACATCCTTGCTGTGCACGAGCTCTACGGGGAACGTTCAGAACCAGGGCGATATGCAGAAGCTATGGGGAGGACACGCCGCAACCTTCCTGTCCTGCCTAGAGAAGCACAGGCCACTGTTTTCTTCAGGCCAGAGAGGGAACAGAGAAGTATTTGCCTTTGTAAACGGCAAATAGCGGTAGAAGTGGTCAGCAAGGGGAACACTGATTCTTGGTACAAGCTCCCACTGTTTAATGATCAGCTGTTAAGTCCTGGGAGAAGGTTCCTGCCCACATCTCTTTGTAGATCTGGTCCTATGTGTCATTAGAGATCTAAAATTTCTATTAGGAACAACACTTGAGCTTAATTTTTTCTGCACATAATGGGAAAAAGCCTATTGTGCCATAGCCTGAAACACGAGATACAACTTTAAAATCACTCTAACTCAGATTCTAGGGCCTTACCTAGCAGAATTTGCACTTAAGTCAGAGGCAACGGAGGGCTGGCATAAATCTAAGATGCCAAAGCATGTTGAAAGTCATTTAAACACACATTCTCTCCTAAAAGCCACCAGTTCTGAAGTCCTGTCAGACTGAACCCCCAAAAGAAATAACCCGTTTTCCATAACCAGAGCATAAGATTATGCAGAAAAACATTTTAAATGTCATTTTGCAGAGATCTAATCAGAGGGGAAACAGATGAGGAGACAACTGAACGGACGCCTGCACGGTCAAGAAGAAAAATCTCTTTCTCTCAAGTTCTCGGAACGCTACAAGTGACCATCTGTGAAGCTTTCAAAAACGGCTATTTCAGCCCCCTCCATCTGACTGCTCCATCACTTAACTGTTTTATGCCTCTGCGCTGCGAAATCTATTAATAAACTGAATGAACAGGAGGACCTGACAATCCTTTCTCTAAAACATCTAAATCTGAACTAGGGGAACATTCAAAAGTTAATTTGTTGGGTGAGAAGTTGACGGAAATAGAAAATGGAAACACACTGTACAAAGGTGTGAAACTATTAACCTTAATGTTTTTTATTGTGTGGAGTTTCAACAGTTTGTGAACACAGATCTGCTACATTCGAAAGGCTTCAGTAGCACCTTTCTGAAGAGACCAAGAACCAGAACACTTTCTCTGGGTGCTTATGACTTTATCAACCCACAGCAGTCTTATCTTTATCAACCCACAGCAGTCTTATCTGACTGAATTTCTCCAGTCCCAAAAGCAAGTTGTTTCTCGAAGCAAACAGAGGGTGCAGTACTGACTTTTAAAGGCCTAGAACATCTGCAACGTGTAGTAATAAAAAGATAGCATTTAAGAAGGGCATTCAGAGTTAAGCAAGTATGATTCCACCAACTTCTATAACTAGGTCCAAGAAATCACTTGACAAGAATATTCCAGCGTTTTCCATCAGAACAGTCAATATTTTAAATATATATATATACACACACACACGTTTATCTTACCTTCGCAGTTAGTTCCTCAGCAGTTACATTTGGTTCGTAGGGAATGGGCTCTCCAATAAATGTACGCAGTTTGACTGGAAACCCACCGTACACAGGAACTAGTGGCAATCTAGTACGTTCATACAGTGTCCTAAATATTTCTAATGTGAAAAAAATTAGGGGGAAGGGGGAAAGCAGGAGAAGGAAAATGGAAGGTGGGGAGGAGAGACAGAGAAAAGAGAGGGAGAGATACTGAGATTATTCTGTGAAGTTTTTTTCCCAGTATATCTTAAAACTGAAACTGGCATGTTAAGTAATCCTGCCCCTGACCCAGATTCTCAAACAACGTGTCATCTCAAGTGCTGTTCTACCCTTGACTTTCATCTCCTAAAAGCTGCGTTAATGCTAACATCAGACTTGTTTCCACCCTAACTTGGTGTGAAATCTCTCCTTCAAAGAGCAGCTGCAAAGAAAAGGAAGAAGAGGAGAAAAATCCAGCAGCTGTCTCCCTGGAGAGGAAGGGAATGCTACACAATACAGGTTACAGTTCAGCTAATTTTACAGGTTAGCAGAAGAAACTGTGATTGGAAGACTGTTCTTTTCAGTCCCGCTGAGGTCTAGAGGATCAGAAATAGTCTCATCTGTCTGAAGGCCAGGCGTGCTAAACCGCTGAATTGCTCTTTCAGATCACACACTGGCTGCAGTGAAAACAATATAAAAAGAGAGAAAAAACAGGTATTTCTATCAGCTCTAAGAGGACACACCTTCCTCCCCACAGGCCACCTTCTAAGCATCTAGCCCAACTGCAACCAGAACAGATTCCTTGCAGAATAGGGGCTAATATTGTCCCTCCCAATTTTAGACAAGAAATTCCTCCAACTGAGGTGTTGATGTAAGAAAATTCTTACTGACCAAGATGTGGAACTTTCTGTACACAACCTGTAAGAACAAAGAATATTCCAAAACTATTGAAACTGGAGTAACGCCTCCGGTGATCAACAGAATCCAATTCCTCTAGCAACTCTGCTGCAGAATATAAGTAACATGAATGATTCTGGCTTAAATTTCTGCTTGTTTGGGAAGATTCTCCTGAACACAGCAACAATTAATTGCTGTTTATTTTTGTACAGCCTGAGGAATGGGTGAATTATTCTGCGCGTCTACACTGGATGCCTCGGCTTTCTCCACGCAATATATAGCTTTTAATTAGAGGTGGGGAGAACCAGAACTGTTTTGCCCTGCAGTGCTCTGATGAAGGATGATGCCATACTTGAGGCAGAACATGTAGCAGGGAGGAGACTGTTTAGGCCCTTTCTGCTAGACAGTAAGTTGGAGAATATAAAAAAAAGGGGGTTTAACACTAGCAGATCAGCAGCGATGTGGGCACCTCATCATCCCAGAGGTGGGCCCTTCAGGCATACACCCATCTATTCGCGTGCTGGCTCGAAGTCCCATGGAGATGAGGAAAGAGAGCAGGCAAACGCGAGGTTTTGTAAGGAACCACAGGCTTAGGGCTGAATAGTAAACCAACTACAGATTAAACAGATTTCAAACTATTTGAAGCTTAAGTACAGGTAGAGGTGTAAGCACAGAGCTTTAGGAGGACTTTTAAGGAGGAGGACATGTCAGCTGCAAACCCGTTTGCTTTGCTTCTTAACAGACAGCAGAAAACCTAGAGTTGGCCTAGCAGATACAAGCAGAGAAAAAAAGTGCTCTAAATCTATTTGCCTTTTTCTGGCGCCTTTTTCCTTTCTGCTACTGCTTCTGTGAAGGTACACTGTTACGTGGAGAATAACTTAGGTGAGCCAATACCACACCTGATGCTGATATTAAATCCCAATAATATCTCTGAACTCTACCGGAGAGCAAACCTCCAGAAACAAGGCTGTGTCAAATCCCAAATTCATATAGGGATCGTTTCTACAGAGATAGGCTAAACACATATGGAAAAATAAACTACAAAAAAAAAATAGAAAATATCTTACTTATTCCTCCTAATGTCCTAACGCCTTCTCGAACATTTTGTGTAAACATAGGAATGATGGGCTAGGAGGGAAAAAAAATAATTAAGAATTTAATGAAGATAGCACTATCTAAAAAACTTCTACCTCACTTAAACCCAACACGCAAATTAATTTCAGAAGTGTTTCTCAGACAAGGACACATAGAGACCAAAACAAGTATTCTTAAGTTCTTCTGCAACCTTCTGCCATGAGGTTTCAAGCTGGAGAATACCACGAGATTCCAACGAGGCACTGTTTGAGCAAGTTCATTTTCTCAAAGCAGTCCAGGATTTCATACCCTATGGAGTATTTAGGCCTCCCCTTGTCTAGTGTTTGCACAGTTGTGACTTAAGTGGTTAAACCTCTTCCCTAACTTGTAGTTACACTCAAAGGGAAGAATTCACAGGGTTGGGACCCTAAACTTGTCTGATTTGTCCCTGCTATGCTGATGGTATTGCTTCAGACATGATGTGTCATATTCATGACCATGATTTACTTCTGCTGAGTATTTGGAATGGTGTTGAGTATTTCAAATTTTTATTGCTGGTTTTGAACCCGCAAACAGCTGCCAAGAGTCACAAGAACCGGGAGGGGGTGACTACTACATGAAGTTTTTTAATATCATTTTATAGTATGTACTCACTGTACGTAGCACCATCAGAAATACAGAACTCTCTAGGGGATTTTGAAACATTCAGATTCTTTCAAACTTTTTTAAACAAGCATGGAGATGAGCTAGTAAATGAATCTTTTCAGACAGGTATCAAGCTCAGGTTTTTTTGGAGGGTGGGGGGAGTCTGTAAATAATCCAATGCAACTGTAGAGAATAAAGAGAAGTGCAGTTGCCTAAACTGAATGGTAACAAACTTCTTTATTCTACAGCCATCTTACATGGAACATCTTACTTTTGACATAGAGGCAGAGATTTCTGTATGTACCAAGTTGCTTTATATGACAAAAATTCTGGCAAACTGCTGAAATGAGACAACTTCAAGAAGCTGAAGGTCCCAGTTTTAGACACGTTTTTCTGATGTTTTAGACACATTTTTCCTTCCACAAGGAATTATGCTTACAATTAGAGATGACTTAATCTTTAATCTAAATAAAGATATTTTCCTCAATTTCAGCCTGCCTCTGACACTACTGCTATTCTACTGTACCTCTCAGGGTTTTTTTAGGGGAGGATGAAATAATACAATGAATAAATATAACTAGTACAACCATAGTTGAATCCCAAGCATAGCCTTTCATATTCTATTGCAACACATTAGTAAAATCTAAATCTGTTGAAAATATCCTGTGTAAACAGTGTTACTTTCCTCCTGAGAAAAGCGACACACACTTAAAATTGGGTCTTAAAAGTATTCTATTTCTGTATAAAATCCAGACATTTAACCAGCCTCTCTTTGACAGTACCTAAATAGAAAACTGTTGGTGTGAGACTGGCTTTCAAATTAGGTACATGCAGACCTACGGACATATGCACACATCTTTCAAGTACAAATGTAGAATGAAAGGGACTCTGAAATGACTATTAAAATAGTTACAATTCAAATATATCATACACTTATGTGCCTTTCACAGTTGGTCCCACCTGAACGCTTATCTGCCTGCTGGCCAAGTACAACACTATACATTAGAACTGAAGAGACAGTTCACGCTAGTGAACAGCATCTCCTGCTGCTGCTGTACGCCCCAGACACCCCTTACTACCATAAAATGCCAATCCAGTACACAGTGCCAGTGAGTCTATACTGTGCTGGGTCACAGTACACTCCAGCGACAGGGGAAACAGAAATGTTGATGTATGGCTGCTTCCCAACCGTTCTGGCTAGGGGTTGAGCCATCACAATCCTGACCAGGTGTGTGTAAAACAGCACAAGCTTGAAAGGAGCCGTCCTGGATTTCATCTGTCATTCTTTTAAACTCTGGATTCCCTGACTACACTACTCTTAGCTGACTCCAAAGCCTTCTTATCGAAAGCAACAAAAAGTCTTGAAATGTAGTTATGAGAGCAAGTAGACCATACTCATGACACTCAGCAATGTAACACCAAATAGATGATAATCAAAACAGCCTTCCCTGGAAGAAAGTACTAATAAGTTGGCATTCTTTGCTTCTCTTCTGTGATTTGTCATACTTACCACTTTTGCATCAATGGCCACCTGAGCAAAGCCCTTCCGATTACCCCAGATAATAGTATACATTTCGTCACTAAAGAGTGCTTCCCGAACTCCACCTGGCGCAATGGCTAACAGACTGCCCTTCTTCAGAGCACTGACACATTCTTCTTTTGGTCCATGCATAACTCCATGTACATCAATTAATATTTTAAAACCTGTAGGGCAAGATAATATGAATTTAGAAAATGTTAATTCATACCACCATTGAGTACAGATTCCCAACATAGAGCACAACGGCTAAAACTTACTTGTCTAATAACCTGTAAGCCCAAATCAAAGATGCTTCTAGAGGGACTGAAGCATTAAGTCCTGCTTATAAATTCTGGTCTAAAAAGCTGAAGATTCAGGGTTTTTAGTGGCTTGTTGTCATAGTAAAGCCAGGTGCTCTCTCACAATCAGGACTGAACTGGAAAAACCTGGCAAGCACTCTGTGACATCTTTCAAGTGTCCCTTCAAAGTAGTTGTTGAGTCGACTCCAGGGCACTACCTCCTTGCCCAAGCTCTACTTTTCAAATGTAGCACAGTCCTAATAAAGTGCAACAAGAGAAAATACCAGCAAATTGTTGTGGTTTTCTGTTGTGTTAACCTTGGCAAACAAAGAGCAGCCTGTGTACAAGGAGAATGACAAAGAAAATGCAGCATTCTCTGCGTTACAGATCACTGCAGGAACTGACTCCCTGGTTCAGTCTGTGAGTGCCCGATGGCCTCTCACACAAAGAGGCATCTGGCAAGCCTGGACTGAGTATATTCATCTTAGGTTAAGATTCTTCATTTTATGAAGTTTTTAACTGTAAAGTTACATAAACTCCTCATATCATCTTTAATTTGAAATGTCATACTGACCCTACTCTTCAAGAAACAGCAGAACATCAAAAACACTGAAGAATAGTCCAAATATAGTTAAGAAGACAGAGCTTGATCCTCTCTTACAGCCTGCATAAAGAAGGGCTGCATGAGGCAGTTTATTCTTAACTAAACTCTGATCTCTAACTAGTCTTTGTAGCTGGCGTGAGTGTAATTACTCCTGATTTATATCTATACGCAATTGGGATCTGCCTGTAAACATGACAACAGAACACAAGCTGTGTTACACGTCTCCTGTTCTGCCATGCCTGCCTTGTGACTGCTGATGATACTTGCAGTCTTCACCTAGTAGCATTTGCGCAGAGGACACCTAAAACAAAGGTTTCCTAAAGTCATTTAATTTCTTTCAGGTTTGTGGCCTCTTAAATAGCTGGTTTTCGCAAGGCTTTATGTTCCCAAATTAATTAAAGCTCTCTGGAATGTACCTGGTGGCAGAAGCTGCCTGCCTCTAAGCCCTTTCTGTCAGTCAGTTTAGAAAAGAGACAAAACAGAAATGAGAAGAGTTGAGCCGAGCAGGAAAAGACACTCCAAAGAAGCTGAAGCTGTGAAGACAGTTTTCTTTTCTGCATTGGACATGCTGGGGAAGGGGGGGGCAGGCGAGGGCTGGGGGGGGGATAGAGCAACGCCATGAGCGTGTCCAGTTCATAGGTCAGAACGTAGACAGAACACAGGCAAAAATTTGTCACACAGAATAGTGGGGGGGGGGCCCTTCAAGTCTTCACAATTTCTCAGCCGTATTTCCCCTTGACGTTTAGTATAAACCTTATATTCTGAGCTGTACCTCACAGCCTAGCCAGCAGATCATACATTACTACCAGTATCTCTGCTTCAGTAGCAAAGAGGAAGAATCTGGCTAAAATTATTTAATCACAGTTTTTCAGCATTCCAGAGCATGAAGGGATGCTAATTTTTCCAAACACCAGGAAGTTCAAAATTAATTTTATTCTACAGCTCAACCTGGACCCTGCCCTTTGCCCCAGCACACTCTTCTCCTAGTTTCCACAACACTGTGTCCACACCGATGTTTGAAACCCCTTTGGAGAGTACCCAGTAGTGCACCGAACACTCATCTCCATAAGTGCAGTACATAGGTTTCTCTAACTCAGCCCCAGCGACTGTAACACAGGGGCTGTCAGCCACCTGGTAGCCAGATGGCAAGGATGTCATCGTTTTCCTGTGGTTGACCTTCAGGACCACAGAGAGGAATCATTTAGACCACTGAGTCCAACTGTAGGTAACCAGGTGTGTGTTTCTGCAGAACATCTAGTCCACAAGACATTTCACAACGCCTTGTGTATGTAACAGACAAGAAGCCACAGCTCCTCTCCTCTGGGACATTACAGGAGAGGGACTGCCTTAGATCCCTAAAATAGCATGCAACCTTTTAAAGAGGGTCCCCAGATGACTGGGGGAAGCAGACATGGCCCATACTATAGGAGAGGGTGATGGAGAACACAAGTGAAATCTCAGTCCTCACTGTGCTCTTTGGGAAAAGACTGTCTCTCAACCTTAGAGAAATCAATGTATTCCTCAGCACTACACAGCTAAAAGAACCAGAAACCACTGGAATGTTTTGTTGGTGGTTCTGGGCTTTTTTCTGTGAATAACCTTCTCTATTTAAAAGAAAAAGAAAAAAAAAAGGAAGCCACAAGACCCTATTTCATATTCTTCTGCCCCAAAAGGCAAGCAACAGAAGCATACATAGCATCGATTCAGTGTAAATTGAGACAATGGAATAATTTCCTTTTCATCGATGTGAAAGATAGCCCTGTTAGGCAATGTTCAATAGGAATCTCCAGATATCTATAGGTCTCCTGTCAGATTAAATTCCCTTCTGTAAGTTATCAAGCTGTATCTTTCAAGACTAAGCAGTAGGGAGAGGCCTTTTTGACCCCTTGCAGGCTCCTGCATCCCTTAGGAGGCAGAGCAACACTTTACAGACACACTTCAGTTAACTGCAGTTAATTCAGGACAGCAGTGCCCAACGCAGAGGATGCAATGAGGCCGCATACTGGTAATTGCATACTGGCACAGACCTGAGATTCAGATTCACAGCACAAGCCATTCCTCACAGCTATTCATAGTTGATTCAATAATCATAAAAACAGAAGGATCATTAAATCATCTAATCCAAGTGTGTCTAACAGCCTACAGACTCCCCAAACCCAGCCCGACCCCACACCCCCATTTCTCCTGCAGTAAGCATAATAAGTTTTTGTTAACGAAAACATCTTCTGAAAAGGCATCCAACTGAATCTGAAGACTTAATCAAGATCAGGCAGTCTTAGTACTAGGATAAAATTATGGCAGTCTTTATGGTTTGATTGTCAAGAGAAGGGGCATCTATCTGGGTTGCCAGTCACAGACTGCCCTGCAGATTTTGAAACACAATCCAGAGTATTATCTAGGCTCTTTGGGCTTGTCTTCCCTGAATAGCCCTAATTCATTCACAAAACCAGAGAATTTAGGTTGGAAGGGACCTCTGAAGGTCATCTCTAGTCCAGCCTCCCACTCAAAGCGGGTCCAACTAGATCAGGCTGCTCAGGGCCTCACCCTGCAGTTTTCAGAGTCTCCAGGGACGGAGATTCCCCAATGTGTCTAGGCAATCCATTTGGGCCCTTGATCACCCTCACGGTAAAATACCTTTCCACACATCTAATAAAAATTCCCTGTGTGCAACGTGGCTCTGTTGCTTCTCATTCTACTGCTGTGCACCTGTGAGAAGACTCTGACTCCCCCTTCTCTGCACCCTCCCGTTAGGTTGCTGAAGACAGCAATACCATCTTCCCCCACCCTTACCTGGCACAGACCAAACAAATCCAGTTCTCTCAGCCTCTCCTCATATTTTGTGTGCTCCAGCCCCCCATCATCCACCCAACACGCTCTAGCGCATCAACGTCTGTCCAAAACCGAACACTGTATTGCGAGATGTGCTCGCACAGGTGCCAAGCCAAGGGAAAAAAACCTCTTCACTCAATCTGCTGCTAACCCCCACGCTAAAAAAGACTCAGCGTGCAGTTCATCTTCTTTGCTGCAAGGGCACGCTGCAGACTCACATTCAACTTCTTGTCCACTAGAATGCCAAAGCCCCTTCCTGCAAAGCCAGCTTCTACCCAGGTTACTGTCACATGAGATTGCTCCATCCCAGAGGCACAATCTCGCATTTGCTTTTGCTGAACTTCGTGATCTTTCTGCCAGTTCGTATCTGTGAAGTCACTCTAAATACCAGCTTCAACCCCCAACGTTAAACTGCTCCCCCAGTTTGGTATCATCAGTGAACTTCCTGCAAGCACACTCCAACCCTTCATCCACGCGCGCCACAGAACCATTAAGCAGCGCTGGTCCCAGTATCAATCCCTGAGGAACCC